TCTTGTAATGAAGCAGGCTGTGTTTTCCTCTGCCGTCTGTAGTTGGTTATGGCCCCCAGCGACAGAGCTGGACTTGAGAGGGCCAGCATGGATACTTAGCCTCTTAGCAGCTGCACTTTCTGCTTTAGTGAAGTGGACACTTGAAAACCGGGCGGGAGAGGGAGAGGGAGTGAAGGCGGGAGGGAATGTGTTTTAAGGGCTCCAGTCTGTGTTTACTACGCGTTGATTCGGTGGAACCTCATTCCAGCAGTGCAGCCAACTGTCCTGTCGACCGCAGCCGCACCCTTTGGACAGCCTTCCATTGTGTCTTAATTTGGAATCCGCACAGGGACCTCTGAGTCGCTATTTTAAATGAAGGTTCTCACCCTGCTTCAGGTCCACGTAAGGTCCACGTGCAACCTGCCGAGCTCAGAACATACCTATTTTAAAATTGCAGTCAAGAATCAGAGGCGAGGGGGCTGGGATTGTGGCTCAGAGGTAGAGTGCTCGCCCCGCACGCAGGATGCACTGGGTTCAATCCTCAGCACCACATAAAAATAAAACAAAGATATTGTAAAAAAAAATAAGTATTAAAAAAAAATCAGAGGTGAGCTGTTCATCAGCCCTTTGGTTTTTCACAGGTTTATTTCGCTCCCCCTGCAGAGAGAGAAATCTGTTTTATATAACACCTGAATGAAACATGCCAAAAGAGAACCTTGCTTAACATGGCAAATCCCTCCTGGTGGGGAGATGTGACTTCGTTATCACTCAGAAGAAGAGCTGAGCCAGCGCTGGGCTCCGTCCCTCATGCAGAAATAATTCCTGGACTAATCCCTTTGATTTCAGCTTGCTGAGAAAAGTTGCAAACCCAGGGTTTCTGCTTGCCCAGGGCCTGGTGAGGTTCGTTGTTGGAGGGCCATTGTTCCTCTTGCCCTGGCCCGTCCCCTCTGCCCGGACAGCTTCGTCATGGCCATCCGTGCCTGGCTTTTGCCCCAGCACCTCAGAAGTCAGAACAGAAGTGCAGGCACCGTCGTCCATTCCTGACCCCTGCTCTTCAGGGTGGTGGACACCAAGGCGCGATCAATGGCTGAAGGTGACAAGAAGAGGCGTGTGGTGCTCCGCAGATGCTGGCATCCTGGGACCTTTTCCAAGATGTTTCAGGCCTCGTTCTCCAACTTGTTTAAGGGCAGAGAATGAGGTTGCAAAGGAAATCAAAGCCTGATGTGGAAAAACGAAACATGAGGCCTACTGACTTTTTAAAAACATTTTAAATAACGTTCTCGGAGGTTTCATTTTATACCGAAAGCAGCTGTAATAAGTTTTGGAAGATGGTGTAAGGTTTCTATTACAGAACGATCCTGCCTGCAGTTTTTGTACCTCAAGTGAGAAAGAGCAGAGGGGGTGAAGGGGTGGCTAAGAGGCTATTTCATAAAAGGTGAGAAAATTTGCAAAGATGAATTCAGGTCTGCCAGCGGTGACATTTGGCATGCTGTAATTCGCAAATGTAATAACATTAAACCATTGCACGGGGCTTTTTTTTTTTGGTGAAAATAGTCCGGATAACAGTGGAATAACTTAATAACTGCAGCTCAGCAGTGCTCTGGCCACAAGGAAAGCGAGGCCCCAGCCCTGAAGCAGGCCCTGCCAGTGTTGCCCCAGCGACTGATGCCCGTCGGAGGCTGGCGCAGGCCAGAGGCGGCGGTGCTCTGAAAGCGCTCCTTGTTCACGGGGCGGCGTTTTTTGGTAGGACGTGCTCAGTGATGTTTGCTTGTGAAACGATTTACTAGAAACTGGTATGTTTCAGAAAGAGGGCTTGTTTTGAAATATGGCAAATCTGGCTTATGATATTAAAGGTTTTATAGGACTTTTGTTTCAAAAGATATCTTAGGCCCAACTGTCAATAGTTGTCTTACACACACACTCACACACACAGGTACACACATTTGAGTGGAACTCTGAGCCAGGGAATGAGTTGATACCTACAATTCACTTTTCTGAGGGAAGGAATGAGCTGTCTTCGGTCTTGACAGGTACAAAGGGGCATGTTTGTGAACCCGCTGTGGGGTCCAGCCCAGGCAATGGCCTCTCTAAGCTGTTAAATCTCTTGGTAGGAGGTATGTTGGGGAGTGAGGAAGAGGAGTGTGTGTAAGTGGACTCAACTTAGTCCTTCCCACATGGACGGAGCCAGCCACCATGAAAACATACCTCCTTCATTGCTGGTGACACCCAGGCCCCAAGGCTTGTGCCTGAGAAAACATGTCAGCCAAAGAGTGGCACTTTCACATGACATTTGAAGACACCAAGGTTTGACATTTTCTGCCCAGAAAAACTAGAAGTCTTGACTTGTGGGGTGATTGCTTAGCCTGCATGGGTGATATTGGGACAGATGAATGACTTCTTGAGGGCTCTGACATCCTTATCTTTATAATGTAGAGACATAGGTATCTGCGAAGCGATGGGAGATTATAGAAATAAATGTGCTGAAGATAACCACTGGTACTTTTTCTTTCTTAAAAAGTTTTTGAGGGCAAGCAACAGGCTGGTGGAGTAAAATCAATTTTCACATGGTCTGGCTCTTGTCCAACAAATTCCACTAAATGATATTTTAATCTGAAAGCCCCAAATGTAGAAAGGCCTAGACATCTATCATTCTGATTAGAGCACTGGGGTCCTAGGTGTGGTATGGAGACATCCTTGGTGTGTTGGGCTGGCCCGGGCATCCTCATTTCCCCTGGCTGTTTTGAAGCTGCAGGTTGAAGGCAGTGGTACCTACACTTCAGGGAGAAAGGGGGAGGCTGGTTGGTACATGTAGGCATGAGGGTGGAGCAGTGATTGGGTGGAGTGTGCCCCTGACAGCACTGCTGTGTGAACTTGTGGTTATTTTATCTTTATTTTTTTTTTTAGTTGGGGGGATACTAGGGATTGAACTTAGGGGCACTTGACCACTAACCCACATCCCCAGCCCTATTTTGTGTTTTATTTAGAGATGGGGTCTCACTGAGTTGCTTAGTGCCTTGCTATTGCTGAGGCTGGCTTTGAACTCGCAATCCTCCTGCCTCAGCCTCACGAACCACTGGGGTTACAGGCGTGGGCCACCGTGCCTCTTTTGAGAACACCTCACACGAGATGTTCTGTCCTAACATGTCCTCATCTGCTATCTAACATCTTTCAGTTGATATAAGTGCAAGGTTGTACAGCAGATCTCTGGAATTTATTCACCCTGCTTGACTGACAGTTTATGTCCCCCGATCAGCAACCCCCCATCTGCCCTGGCGGCCACCCCTGCACTCTGAGGGTATGCAGTTGGCTATGCAGACCCCGCACACGAGCTGCATCCTGCAGTGCCTCTGCTTCCGCGGCTGCCCTGTTTCATCCACGTTGTCATCCATGGCACGATTTCCATTTTTTTTTTTAAAGCTAATGGTTTCCCGTTGTATGTAGAGATCACATTTTTAATTTTTCCATTCATTGGTCAATGGAGATTTGGGATATTGGCTGAATCAATATCTTGATTGACAGTGGAGCTGTGAGGAACGTGGGTGTGCTCATGTCTCAGATCCTGAGTTCTTTTGGATGAATACCTCGAAGTGGGACCAAATGGTCGTTCTGTTTTGACTTTTTTTTTTAAAGGAGCCTCCATATTGTTTTTCATGGAGGCCGCACTGTTTTGCACCCCCACCAGCTGTGTGGGCAGGAGATCCACTCTCTACATCCTCCCCATTAGCCACCCTAACAGGTGTGAGGTGACAGCCCATGGTGATTTTGGTTTGTATTTTGCTGAGGATTAGTAATGACGCATCTTTTCACACACCTGTTCACCATTTGTATGTTGTTTTTGGAAAAACGTCTGTTCCAGTTCTTAGCCCATCTTTCAGTTGGTTTTTGCTTAATTCTTGAGGAACCTTGGGTGTAGATGCCAGCACACCTTGGCTTGGTAGCCTCAGTAGGATTTCTGCAGAGAGCCCCACTCCACTGGAGAGGAACCTTCTTGAAAGCCACTCAACAGGAAGTGTGTGTGGGGGTGCACTTTGTTGAGAACTCTCTCTGCAGAGAAAGAGCTACAAGACAATGAGGCCCAGGAAGCAATGGCAGGCATCCCCTGTGTCGGGCCTTCTCCCCGACAGTCCAAAAGTTAGCCCAGGCTGGGGGACTGGCTTCTCCTTGTGTTTCTTTCGGGGCCACATCTGTTAAGCCAAAGATTGTCTGCTAGTTCCTGTATTTCCTAGCATACAGTGACATTCATATTTATTAAATAAATGAATGCGTGAATAGAGAGCCAATCAATGACTAAGCTCCTTGGTAGAGGTGAATCCAGTTTTGAGTTTGGTCTAGAGACTTAGGTTTCTAGTTTATATTTTAAAATAAGGGACGCAGGTCTTCTCAGGACATTTTAAAAATGCTCAGGCGACACCATGAGGAGTGGAGCCTTTTTGGTATTCACGGTGGCTGGTCTCTTTGCTCAGCCTGCATGGGCGGTATTGGGACAGATGAATGGCTTAAAGTAACAAATGATCCCAAATGAATTTGCTTGATACAACACACATTTGCTTCTAGTTCTGGGGCCTAGAAGTTCTAAATCAAGGTCTGGTAACCCAGACCTTGGGGCTGTGTGAGGTGTCTTGTCGTTTGCCCGTGATGTTAGGCTTAGTGTTGCCGTGGGTTTGGGAGACCATCCCAAGCACGCTCAGTGAAGCGGTCCCCTGTTGCCATTTGTCTTTCAGATTATCAAAATAAAATCTTTCCTTTTATTCGTTAGGTGGCCACGGATAACCAGTAACTTGGGATATAATAAATTGTTTTCTGATTTTTTAAATAAGAATCGTTTTGACAAGGGTTGTGCTCCAGCAGGCTCCTTTGAAGTCCTTTCTGTCATGCATGGGGCCTCCATGTTATTCCAGAGGAGTCAGCCAGCAGACGGAGGACTTTTTGGCTCCCCCAACAGCCCTCTGGACAGCACACCTTATTTATGGGTCTCTTCCTCCTCCCACCCCTGCTTGTCCTTTCTCCCCTCTCTCCATCAGAGCGGTCGCCACACCGGCCCATCCTGCAGGCTGGGCTGCCGGCGAATGCCTCCACGGTGGTCGGAGGGGATGTGGAGTTTGTGTGCAAAGTGTACAGCGACGCCCAGCCCCACATCCAGTGGATCAAGCATGTCGAGAAGAACGGCAGTAAATATGGGCCCGATGGGCTGCCCTACCTCAAGGTTCTAAAGGTGAGCACTTTCCAAATCCCAGGGGGCCCCGGACTGGGCTCCCCGGTGGGTTTGGCCAGGTTCTTTGATTTCCTGTTAGAATTGACAGATGATATCTCTCTTTGGCCAGTATGTTAAGGAATTAGAAGATCTTTAGGCTTGCTAATAAAATATCACAAGGGAACTGTGGGGTCAGGGAAGAACGACTAAACTTGGAGTCAGACTAGTTCAGCTGTTTGTCAGCCCTAAAATCTTAGAAAAAATGTCGAGGCTTAGCTGCACCTCTATAAAAGTGGGCCTCATGACATTGTCTCCCCTACAAGATGGTCGTGTAGTTGTCAGTGGGACGGAGTTGATGGAAAGACCTTGATGTTACTCTGTTTTTTATTAATATGTTAGGATCGAATTTGAGTAGCCACCTTTTAGAACTTTTTTTTTTTCCCAAAAACTTTTTTCAAAGATTCCCTAAATCATTCACATATGGTTTAGGAGTAAACTTTGAGCCATATTTCTATGCCCGTGAAAAGTTTTTCCCCCTTGTGTTCCTTGTTTGTTTGTTTTGCAAGCCTCCATTTTCGTAGCACCGGCCTCTGTTTCCCATCTCACTCGCTCTCAGGACGTAGTAGCACGTGGCAGCTCAGTTAATCCTCAGCCCCCTGCCTCCCATGTCTCCTGGATTAAGTTGCCCGTAGAGAATGTCCTTCAAAAGAACAGGCTTCCCCAGAACCATAGGTGTCCAACGACTCCCCACCACGAGCGTCTCTCCAGCTAACAATAGCCAGGGTCCAAAGGCTGGAGAGAGATGAGCAGCCTGGGCAGCGGCTCTCCCCCTTCCACCTGCTGTCACCGCACCCCACATCCTCTCCATTGCCCCACCCTTTTCATTCTCCCTCAGCCCACAGCTCTTTGAACGTAATGGAGGTTGTCTCCCTGTGGTATGTTGGTGGTGGGACCATAGACAGCCCTCGGTCCTTCCTGGTTGGCCGTTATATTGTTCTCCTATGTCTGTTCTAGCACTCGGGGATAAATAGTTCCAATGCAGAAGTGCTGGCTCTGTTCAATGTGACTGAGGCGGATGCTGGGGAATATATATGTAAGGTCTCCAATTATATAGGGCAGGCCAACCAGTCTGCCTGGCTCACTGTCCTGCCAAAACAGCAAGGTAACCATGTTTTCGTTTTTGTTTTCATTTTTTTAAAAGAAAGCTGGATATAGAAGCTGAAAAGACTTGGTGCTTTGGGAGCCTGCAGGCAGCTTCTAGGATAACCCCTGTGGCCTCGGTATATTCATAATAATCTTTCTTTGGTGATGCGGCTGGCATGGTGCCAGCAGCCATGGAAAAATGCCCACAATGTTCAAGGTGCTTGCTGTCATTTCTTCTGAAGAGTGCCCTCCACCCCTACCCAGTTTTCTCAGTCATCTCTTCTGGTTTATCTTGTCCGGGCTGCACGTTTCCCACCATGACTGCACATTAGCACCGTTTTATACACAAACTGGCAGAATTGTTGAATTTGTAGCATTCAAATATCAGAAATATATGTCCTTCTACTCCAGATTTTTAGAGAAGTATTGGCATGCTATTATTTGTCCAGGAAAGTCTCTTGGACAAATTCTTTGGTTCCATAGTGGATCCTACCCTAAATTTGAAGATAGTGCATCTTACCCACTGAACGTACTACTGGACGCTGTCAAAGGCGGAAGGTGGACCTTCTTAGTTTGTCATGACTCATGTTCAAATATTTTTTATTACAAAAGGAGAGAAGCCACCACAACAGAAAGCCCAGTTTTTCTCTTGCCAAGATCATGCTTTCTTCCATTCTCTTTCAAGGCTTTGTAATGCAAGATGGTTTTGCAAAAATGAAATTAAGGATCTGGTAACCGAGACAACCTTCCCACCCTGGTTGGTTCCCACAGGGCCATGGGGACAAGAGAGGTGTCTACCTGGGCTGTTTACAGTGCTTTGTTTTCTTACACAGCCATTTAGATAGAACCATCCTTTTCTCAAGCTGGGAGTCTGCAGCCAATAAGACCAGAAGCCAAATTAGCCTTTTGGGCACTGTGCCTTTGGAAAGCCACCCCTCAATCCAAACTAAAGCAAAGGCCCAGCGAACAGACCTCTGTGGGTTGATTTTTCCATGCGTTTGATTGCATGCATGTCTAGGTGGTGAAGCCGGTGTGGTGACGGGCCTGCGGAGGTGAGCTGGCCGGTGTGCTCAGGGTCTTGGTTGTGGGCTTTGTGGATGGCTGCAGTTGGAATCTCGCGGTGGCCAGCGTCTCCTGGAGCCGCCGTGGAGGCCCGTGGTTCCGTGGCCCCTCCACAGTCCTTCCTGTCTCTAGCCCTTTTCTCGCTTCCTTTGTTTTCTAGGCTGCCGGTGTTAACACCACGGACAAAGAGATTGAGGTTCTCTATATTCGGAATGTAACTTTTGAGGATGCTGGGGAATATACGTGCTTGGCGGGTAATTCTATTGGGATATCCTTTCACTCTGCATGGTTGACAGTTCTGCCAGGTATATACTGCTCTTTCTTTCCGTGGGTTTTCCCCTTTTCTTGGTTGATTGCTATAAAATTAACACAGCTTCTGTTCCCAGAAATGGCCCCTTTTATCCTTGCATAAAGATTGAAAAATATGCAAAATGATCCCCCAGGGATTAAGAAAGTTGCTTTGGAAATTCACTTACAAGGAGATCCCACACTCACATTTATGATCAAGTAAAATTTCACCCTTAAAACCCAAAGGGATCTTATATTTTTTTTTAGTGAGTCATGGAGCCAATGTATAAATTAGCCCATCCCCCTTCTCATAAAGAAGTAGTAAAAATTACTTTATAAAATTCAAAGTAATTTTTTCTCATTGCAAGTTCCATCTCGTTGAAATCCCATATGTGGTTTTTCTCCCCCTCTTGTGTTTCTAATGAGATGTGAGCAGATGGATGTTCATTGGGGTGCCTGGGGGAAGCACCCTGCAACATAGGTGTGCAGAAGCAGTGTGTTACCTACCTTGGGAATCGGTGGCTTGTTGCATGTTGCAATAGAATGGACTCTCATTGGCCTTTTCTAGGGAGCATGCTTGTGCCATCTTAGGCTTGATGTTATTTCTGCCCTGCAAAGAAATAAACATCAGTGAAGCCCTGTTGCTAAACGTTGCTGCTAAGTCTAACCAACATCTCTGTTCTAGTCTTGACAAACCCTGTTTTCTTTGTTACATTTGCTGCTATTGTTTCCTTTGTGAAACTGCATAGACTATGGTTTGCTAGCTCATGATGTTCCACTCCAGTTATTAATTCCTCATTTTTAGAGTACAGTGCCTACCTGCATGCCTGTTTTATATCAAGTAAAAATAAATTGATCATTTCATTTTGTGCTGTGCTGCTGAGAGTTGACTATCTTTGCAAGTATTTTTTTTTCTGATTAAAATGTATAAGCTTCAATACCATTGCATCCGTTTTTCCTTTTGTTGTGAATCTGCTCTATGAATATTTGCTTTGAAAAACAATGAGATGCCTCTCCTGTTGAGCTTGCTTTAACTTGCAGTACTGCATTCTGCAGGTGCCTAACTGGCACTTCTTAACCAGTTTGCCTGATAATACTAGCCCATTAACTAAGAATGCAGTTTGGGGAAAAAAAAAAATACTGTTTGGAAATACACTGCTTGTAAATTGATCACTGAAGACTAAGAAGGGGACAGATAATATTTGATATAAAAAGTTGCTAAATTAATTACATAAGTATGCACATGCAATGCCATTTATATTTTTATACAAAACTCTTAATGGTTATTATGGAATATTATAAACTTTGTGTATTTTGTGCATAAAGATTTTATATCATAATTGTCTTTATAAAGAATGCATTGGTTTAACTGAATAGCATGGGGGACTGTATTAAAGAAATCAAAAAATTTTGGGGGACAGTCTATTAGCTGAACACTTATCTGTGTTCATCTGGGAAAAACAATCTTGTAGGGCTTTGCTGTGAAAGAGCCCACCCCAGTGACATGAAGCACCATCATGTCCTCCTTAGGAACAAAAAGGGCACGCTCATATTCAAGAACTTTGAATTTGGTTTGCCTTCAGAGGCCACCATGAAAGATGGTCCCTTTGTTGTGGGTGTAGTCGATGATCCAGCTCTGCCCAAATGACCAACAGAATGTGGCTTGTAGCCTGCCCATTGTAACCTGGTGTCAGCCACTCAGTGCTGGCAGACACCCACTAAGACCAGAGATGGTGACCTCCTGGGCCCTGATGGTGGAGTGAGGAACCCACGGTCATTTGTTTGCATCTGGGAGAGCCTCAGGCCAGAGGCACTTGCAACTGGGCCCCTGTTATCCTGCAGCCTTGAGTTACGGGGACGCCTACCTTGACTGGAGAATGGCCGTCGCCCTTGATTCCTTTAATTACACGGTGACTCATCACTCCCCTGTCCTAACTCTCTGGCCTGCTTATCTGTTCCTCCCCCTGCGACCTGCCATCTAGCTCCTGTAAGAGAAAAGGAGATCACAGCTTCCCCAGATTACCTGGAGATAGCCATTTACTGCATAGGGGTCTTCCTCATTGCCTGCATGGTGGTGACAGTCATCCTGTGCCGAATGAAGACCACCACCAAGAAGCCGGACTTCAGCAGCCAGCCTGCAGTGCACAAGCTGACCAAGCGCATCCCCCTGCGGAGACAGGTAACAGAAAGTAGATAAAGAGTTTAAAGAACCTTACTCCTCCCCAACCACCCAGCCAGCTCTTGGATCTTTTCCTCTGCTTTGATGTCCTCTCTTCGTTGAGCATCATTGTGTGATGCTGCCTGGTGGGCTCAGCATTTGGAGCTTGGAGAGTCAAGTCACAGTGCTTTGGGCGGGGGGTGGGGTGGGGTGGTAAATGAGGTCTAGTTCCAAGGTCAAGAAAGGACAGTAATAAGAGAGTCAGGTCCTCAGCAGGACTGGAAATAACTCTGGAGGGACTCCAAGTATAGCTGTCTATTCATCATAGGCCACATTAGTGTCCTGTATCTATTTTTTATTTATTTTATTATTATTTTTTTTTTTTTGAGGTAGGCATGGATATTGGATGGGACTTATACCACTAGGAGAAAAGAAACTCTAGTCCTCTTTAATTTAAGTCAAGATCTGAACCCTGGGGCTCAGAGATGTACCTGAACTACTTATTTCCAAACTGAATTTTGGCTGAGTTCCTCTGATTCTTTAAAATAGCGTTGAATGCATATATTATATATATTTACTTTTGTTAGTAGGTCACAGGTGTGGCCATGGGCCTGGTGGTAGGATGATTTTTCTATGAAACTGGGAAAGGATTGCTTTTAACCTTAAACCTGGTCTTTGGTGGCTGCTTTTCTTGTATTTGCCTTCTGATTGGTTGATTTTGGCTTTGGGAGATGGGACAAGATTGTCTTCACTGTGCCCTAAGCCAAGGGTCAGGAAATGCTATGAAGGAACAAAGGGAATGTACATATGAATGTGAAGTCTTAGGAAAATATTTGGAACTTGATTCTGATAAAGTGTTTTCCTTTTTTTTTTAAAGTAGTAAGTGCCACAGCAGCTCACTGGCCTTGCTTCAATATGAATTTTAGTAGAATTTATGCTAAAATTGCAGATTCCATCATCCCAGCCCTGATTCTTATTCAGTAGATCTTGAACAGAGCCAGGAATCTGCATTTTAAACAAGTTCCCAGGTGAGTCTTAAAAGTGCTTTGGGAAATTCAGGGTTCATCTCCCTTCTGGTCATAGGACTTGGGTATCCATGGCATTTTTTGGACAAGGCATTGGGAAGGGTTAAGGACCCGTTGATCAGCAACAGTTTCCGCATGGATCTGGCTGTCCTTGGCCAGCTCCTGGCTGAATGGGTCCTTGCTAAGGTCTTTGGAACCATGTCCCTTGCAGGTCTGTCTTCGTGGAGGCTGAGGATAGAATCTGGGTGTGTGTTAAGTATGGGCAGATGATCGTTGTGCCAAGAACATGGGAGAAAGGGGGCCCATTGGGTCATATCTGCCACCAAGAATGCTGTTGTTATTTTGAGTGACAGCACTGTCATTTGTGAGGCCAGAGAAGCAGTGATGGCCCAGAGCCGGTTGCCTGGTCCGTTTCTGGAGAGTCTAGTCCTGAGATGACCCTCACCTGGCTGGATAGTGCTGTGGCTTCAGGCCACGTGGCCACTTTGCCCCACCCTCCCTCCTCACCAGTCACCTCTGGGCTGCTCTTAAGGCATCCACACTTGGGATCTGGCACAGGGAGTTGGGAAAAGGGAGTGGTGTTCCCATTGCTATTATTTTCTTCTAATAAGGCAGGAGGGGAACCCTCTCATGTGGCGTAACTAGGCTCTCATCCTGTAATTATGTCATCTTTTCTTTTTTGTAACTATTAGGATGAAAGAGGAAGGTGCCCTTAAAATCCCCTGACTTCTCTCCATCGTCCGTGTCCACTTAGGGTGGTCATCTTCTCGCTTGCTGTGTAAGCCCCGGGGACAGAGGCCCTCCCGTGTTCTTCCCTCCTTCCTTTCACTCGTCCTCCTTCATCTGGTGCTTGGTCCAACCCAGGCTCCACAGGAGGCTTCAAGGTTATTTGGAGGCTGTTATTTGAAATGTGATTGCCTTGTGTTGGAGAGGGGCAGATGGTGCAAGAGAAATGGGAGTGGAGAAACATCTCTGGGAGTTAAGTTTTTGAGGAATGTCGACACACCCCCAGTTCTTCATATATGTGAAATGGGGAGCATTATTCATTGTTCACAAAGAGCATCCCTCAGGGAGCCCCGTTGGTGGAGGGGGAGATGCCTGTCCCGTGTCTAGGTAAAAGAGGGCTATTCGACCATGCTGGAGGGAGAAGCCACACAAAGGCCCCAGGGATGCGAAGTGAGTCTTCACCAGGTGACAAGTGAGCCCATCATTGGCTGTCTTGGGACCCTTGCCCCCAGGCTCTCAGGAAGTCACTTGCATCCTGCATTGGCCCAAGCTCCTGTGTGACACAGGTCACACTCGAGTCTTCCTGGCTCCAAGGCCTCTCTCTTGATGTGCTCTGCCAGAGGTTGGTGATTTATCCTGTTGTGAGTTTTCCTTCTTAACATTTACTAATTTGCACTGGATTTACTGGGTGCAAGACAGACATTTCATTTATGTTATTTTTTTGGAACAACAGATTTTTCCCCCAGTACTAAAGGAGGAGTTTCTTGGAATCATGTTCCAGTAACTACGAATTTTTGAGAATTTTCATGCACCTTGATGCTTGGGGAAACTCAGGTGGCGTGGGGCAGCCCCCTTGGGAGGGGACTCATACCTCACTCAGGGTCAGGGCTCGGACACTGTGCTGCCCTGCCCACCTGCTGCTGTTTCCTGAGCACTTGGCATGTCAGAAGGGACCAGCAGCCGTCCACCCAGACAGGGGCTTCTTGGTGAGCCTGTTGGCCTTCCTGTGGCCCTATAGGGTGGCCAGGGGCCATGGAAAAGCAGCCTGTGCACCTATGAGCTGAAGGGAGGGCTTTGCTCCCTGTGATGCCCACAAGTCGCCTGGGGGTGGCAGTGGGGTGGTGCAGGTACAGGAGGGGACACAGGGGACGAGCTGGGTGTGCTGAGGAGGATTTTCAGTGAGTATGTCAACTCCTTGCTCTGGAGCCAGAAGCACCCATAGGGTAGGATGGAGATTCGAGTGTCCTAGAGTTGGCTCTGTCTGGATGGTCATGTCCTGTGCAGCTCCCACCAGCTCCCACTGCTCCCAGCAGCTCACCAGAGGCTGAGGGGGGGTGGGAACCAGGTGGGGTGGGGCGATTCTTCAGGCTTCAGTTTTGCCCTCTCAGCCAGATACAGGGAGAGTAAAACCAGAGAAAGTATCATGGGTGTCTTTTGTGATGATGTCTTTGAGGCTAGGAGTGAGGCAGAGATGCAGGAGAGGAGTAGGTGACTCTGGAGCCTGTTCTAGGCCAGTGTGACTGGCCTCCGGATCACAGCAAACCGAAGAAGGGGGCTCTGGTTCCGGAGGGGGATTTCTGTTTCTAGAAGGAAGTCGTTCTAGAAGGGAGCTATGCTTCTGGAAGCTTGCTCACTGGCAGCTAGACCCCACGAATGTCCTCTGCAGGGTGGGCAGTCCAAGGGCCTCGTGAAACCTGGCTGGTTCGGAAAGACTTGGGTGCTGAGCATGGTCGTGGGCCACCTCACTGGGACCTGCCCTTTCTGTGGGCCCCTGGCCTTCCCCTGCCCCTGCTTGGCGGCTCTCTTCTCTCAGCCTCTGAAGGACACATGGCCTGACTAAGCTCTGACCTGGACTCTAGCTGACAGGACCTTCTAAGTAGAAGCTGGCTGCCCGACCGGGTGCGTCACGGCCCTCACAGGTTGCTCAAGAGACTGGGGGAGGCGGAGGCCCGTTAAGGGAGAAACTCGGCGTCTGATAAACTTCCTCGCCTAATTACCCAAGTTTTGCTGTGGAGGGGAAAAACCCCTGGAAGCTTTATGCAGACCCCCCCAGTTTGACCCAGTGACAACATTTGTCTGTCGGTAGGCCATGTGGGTGAGACTTGGGGCAAAAGTGCCGTCCTCAGGCCTGGTCTGGTTGGGGAAGGTGGCCGCAGCCTCAGGGTGGGCAGGCTCCTGGGCAGGCTGCCGCCCAGGGCTGGTGTCCTCAGGAGGAAACACAGAGAGCGCCCTCCTGCCCGCTGTCCTCCCTGGGAGGTCCCCTCTAGGAGGTCCCCTCTAGGTGTTCAGCTTTGTCTCGTATGAAGAGAGAACACTTACGTGGTGGCCCCTTAAAAAGCCAGGGGGAGAAAAACCAACTCCACTTTCTTGCTCAATCTCCCATATGTAGTGTGGAAATATACGAAAAGCCCATTTAGTTAAAAGCTTGATTTATGGCACATGGTAAAGGGACATTCCGGAAAGCAAGGAAGCTGAATTGGAGACTGTGGAAATACATGTTTAAAAAAAGGCCTTCCAAGGCTTGGGTGGGAAAATAGTTCACCAGTGTTAGCATTTATTGTTTAGAAGTAACTTCTCACCAACAATGGGGTGTTTGTTTGTTTTTTAAAATTGGAAAGAAAACTTCAGAATTGAAGTAGGAATTGAAGAATATGTAACAGGGGAAATTATGATTTCATGGAAAAGGGGAGAAAAAGTGATAATCTAATAGTGCTGAGGAAGAAGGGCTTCCGTGGGGGCCCAGGGCCTCGATTCCAAGGACAGCAGCCCCTGAAACATGGCGTCCCTCGGGGACCTGCCTGCGGGGGGGGGGGGGGGGGGGTGCGCCAAGCCCTCCAAACAGGTTCCCTTCCAGAGGAAGGGAGTGAGGGGAAAGCCAGTCGAGCTTTACAGTCCCCGAGGGGGTTTTAAAAGCACTCTAAAAATGCGTGGAGGTAAAATTAAGATGTGCCTTGGATGGGACCATCAGGCTCAGGCCTTTTTATACTGGGGGCATTTTCTTACCTTTTTCCGCTTTGTGTTTTTATAACCAAAGTATTTTCCAGATTTGTACATTTAATCTGAATCTCTACACTTCGTCTCAACAAAGTAAGCACAGTGTTGTATTTTAATATCAGTGAGAACCACACTGTGTAAAGGTTTCCATTTCTGTTATTTATTTGAGCCTTTCTGTTTTGTTTTGGGCCTGGGGATTGAACCTGGGGGCACGTAACAACTGAGCCACATCCGCAGTGGCCCACCCCCCACCTTTTTTATTTTCTTTAAATTTTGAGGCAGGGACTCGCTAAGTTGCTTAGAGCTTTGCTAAATTGCCGAGGCTGGCTTGGAACCTGCGATCCTCCTGCCTCAGCCTCCTGGGCTGCTGGGTTGACAGGTGTGCACCACCGTGCCTGGCTAGCTTTTCCATCTTAACAGCGTTCACATTATAGGCTTATGGAGATGCTGTGTTTGGGGGAAGGAACACATGTGTATGAACTTGTGCCACAGTTGGGGGATGCAGGCTCCCTTGGGGTCAGAGGTTTGCTGTGGAGCAGTGTCAGACTGAATGTTGGAGTTCTCCGTCCTGTTTGTCCCTGGGACTGTGTTACCCTGTGTCTGGACGCTCCCTGACTCCTGGATTCTTCATTTCTCGTTTGCTGGAGCCCCATCCCACCTGGTTGGGAGCAGAGGCCTTGTGCGTCCCAACTTAGATGTGCCCATTAGGTCATATCCTGTTCTGCAGGCAGCCCTCCTGTCACCTGGCTATCTTCCCGGTTGTGCAGTTAATGACCTCTAACAACCCGAGGCTCCGGGTGGTCCACAGAGAGGTGCCATCTGTATTCACTGGGGTCTGGATACAACTGATGTTCAAGGCGCTGAGGGAAAATGCTGTGGGTTGGGAGCAAATATCACTGAGCTCGTGCTGAGGGCCTGAGCTCACCCCCGCCTCCTGGTCACTGTGAGGTGGAGCTGGGCTGCCTCCTGTGTAACGGAGGGGAACTCGGGCCGGGAAGGGTGCGTGGCTTCCCGAAGCTCACAGGGCTAATGCTGTTGGACCTGCAGGATGGACCCTCGGTGTTGGGGGATGTGGCCTGGACAGTCCACGGGCTACCCATATTGAAGTGCACACAGTGTCATGACGAGGACCTTGCAGCAGAAGAGAGCAACAGAAGCGTCAGTCTTGCCATTTCTCGTTGTTAGAGATGGTGTATGCTCTGTTTGTCAAAGAAAAAGTGCTGTTTCTAAAACATAGAAGAAATATACATACATGACAATAAAACCCAAACGATCTAGAAAATTCTGAAGTAAGGCCTATTTCTACCCTCTCCCCGCTCCTGGTCTCTCCCGCAAGGGTGACTAAGTCTCTTAGATCCCCCCCAGAGCCGTTTTGAATGCCTATGTGCTCACCCTCACTGTGGGAAGGCTGCTTTCCCCACATCCTATCCCCTGAGCCTCCCTTAGGAGAGGGGTGAGTTTTGGGGACAAGGCGGAGAAGCTGCACGTGCTTTCTGGATGTTGACGTCATCGGCCCTCGGCTGCCAGTGATTTCCCAATCGCTTTCCCGTCTTCCATCGATCAAGCAGCACACGGCGCACCCCAACAGTGCAGTTCCGGGAACTCTGGAGTGCCCTGGTGAGGGTCTACGCTGGTGGTCCTGCAGAGCATCCTGGCTGCAGAATCCGCTGGAATCTGGCCACCAGGGCCTGTATTGTCTCATTGCTAGACCGACTTTTACTAGTTTGGCTGGGACTTCTTGCCTGTGATCTTCCAGCCCAAGTGTCCGCTTCAGCAAGTGGTGATTTTCGCTGGTTCATGCGGAGGAACTTTCCAGAAGATCTTTTTAATTTTTGAAAACACCAGGGGCCTTTTGTACCTTTGGCAGGCACAGCACGCAGCCAGGATACTGAGTGAATTAGGTTTAGAAGGAAAGATGGGAGAAGCATCCTTGGCCAATCCCATTCCTGAATCTTCCCGAGCCCCTTCTCTGTGGACGACGCTCAGGATGTTTGTGTGGTCAGTGGAAACTGGAAACTTGAGAATCTCTGAAAGTGCCTGATGTGTCCTGCAGATGAGGTCAGCCCACCATAGCCAGGTTGGATTCCATGTGAACTGTGGTGGGCCTTGGAAGTCATTGCCTGCTGTGTCCAGGGAAGGGCTCCTGCCTGGACTGTGACGTTGGTGGGTAGTGCGAGTAGGTTTTACAGGAGCCCATACCTACCGTTTCATCTTTTCCTGCTTGTTCTGCCATTTGCCTTTGCATCTTGGATGCTTGGGGTGGGGCTTTCACCTACAAAATTTGAGATTTGATATGGCACAATCAGTAAACCATTACTCATCGTTCCTGCATGGTAAACTTGAGCAACAGCTCCCCCTGCCCAAAAGACAATTCAGGAGGCTCAGAAATGTACTCATATACATTTTTTTTTTATGTTTTTCACATGCGTTTAAAAAGGGAATTAAAATTCTATGTGAAGCATTGGCCAACTTCTTGATTTTTATACTGAAAACAGTTTGATTTCTCAACTACCCCCCCATTCATTCTTCGGCATCTTCTTGAGTTTCTAGCCTGCCTTAAGGGTAGTCTGGGTTTAAAAAGACAGAAACAATGCTTCCTGATTGGGTGAGAGCAGGGAGTACAAGTCCTCTGGTTCCCTGTGAGAAGAGTCCAAGATCCACCATGTAAAAGTTCCTCCCAACCAACCTCATCGGTTCATCTGGGCTCGGTTGTTACCCGCTCTGCTGACAAGGTATCTGTCCGTGTAGCTGGGCGTTCTGTCAGCCCTCGAAAGATAAGAAGCCAGGGGCTTGGTGGGCTGCTTGGGTGGCTCATGTTTAGCCTCATATTCTGACTTTTGGGCCAAAGTCTTGTTCCTGGTGTAGAGTTAAGGGTGTCTTCTAGCAGCCCGTGACCATCTGAGATTGTGTAGTCATACCCAGAGGTGGCCTTCAGGTGGGCTCTGCGTGGGTCTTCCTTTACAGATACCAGCCAGGGGAGATGACGGATTTAGGAAATAATCACCTAATCAGGCACAGAAGGAAATGGATCTGGGTGCATGAGCAAAAGAACCCCGCCTGCTCCCAGGTGACCGAATGAAGGTGTCTCTCCCTGGATCCTCTGCCTCGCCTGTGCACTGGTTTCTGAAGCTGAAGCGGACCAGAGGCAGCTCATTCTCATTAAACGGCTTGGGGATCAGCAAGTTTCCAAAGGACTGGGGAGACTGACTGGGCCCAGTGCCTGGGTCTTGGCTGACCTCGAATAGAGGCAGTCGGAGCTCTTTCTTTGAGATGTTCTGCTTTACGTTCCCAGACGTGGAGGAAATATGGAAAAGTTTGTTTCCTACAAGTTTTGGAGAAAGTTCATGAGCCTAGCATTGGTCAATGAAGAGCAGAAAGAGGAGTTTGATTACTGGGGGCTCAGGTACAGGTGTGGGTGCAGGCAGAGAGGCTGTGACGAGCCACTGAGGTCTGCCTGCGTGGAGCAGCTGTCTTAATTAGGATAGAAAGGAGACAATAGTTCAGTCAGACTTAGGTAAAAATTTTGTTTTGAAACCCGATCCAAGTGCTGCGTCAAGGGGGGACAAAGGAATCAGAGTCCAGTGGCTTTCATTTTGGTTCATGGCTTTTCCCAGGCCCCACCTGCTTTCTTTCTAAGAATTGATACTCTGGCTGGGTTCCGGCTGCCTTCCCGCCTTTCCAGGTGGAGCCAGGATTACATCTGTCTTTGCATTTTGTATCCAGGTTTCCGCAGAGTCCAGCTCCTCCATGAACTCCAATACCCCGCTGGTGAGGATAACGACTCGTCTGTCCTCGGCCGCTGACACCCCAATGCTGGCAGGGGTCTCGGAGTACGAGCTGCCAGAGGACCCAAAATGGGAGTTCCCCAGAGATAAGTGAGTATTTCTGCCAGGCACATCCCTGAATGGAAACTTGGATGGAAATGGGAATCCTGGATGGACACTGTCATTCTAGGTCTTGACTACAAAGGTCTTGCTCTGATGGTGTCAATAGGAGTGAGATTAACTTTCCAGATAACAACTCCTAGAAAAGATTAAAATTTTTTTTTAAATTTTTTATTTTTTTAAATAGCTTATTTAAATCAGAGCTATAAAGTTCTGGCTTTTTCCCCAAACAAGATGGCATCTGGTTATCATTTTTTAAATTTCTGGACAATTCAAAACCAGTCAAATGGAATAAAAGCAGAATGATCCAATCTATAAAACAGATCTGACATTCCACCTTCTGGTTACTGGAAAATGATTGTTCTCAGGTTTATTTCTTTGGAGAAATTAGAGTGTAAATTGCCTTTAGGATCTTTACCCATTGCTGCTGTTTTCAATGCTTATTAATGTAATTTTGGGCTGAAAAGCTTCAGATATGGTACCTAATATTTGACTTCTATAGTGCATAGTATTGTCTTCACAGGGCGGTATACAGGTGTTGCCATAGTAAAAGGTGGCCATTTGGGCTTTATTGAAGGCATTGCTGGGAGCTGAGTGTCTCTGGGTCTCACTTGAGCAAGTCCATGTACTTTGGACTCTGTTGGGCTGAATTTGAACCCTGACTCTGCCAGTCAGTTCCTATAAAACCAGGGTCATGGTGCACACCTCCCAGGACTGAGCACATTTCTTGGCCATGGGAGCCCCTTTCATTTCCCTTCATGTCTTGGCGACCTTGAAAACCCTTAGCAGATGGTTGTGCCAGTCACAGAACCAGTGGGGCAGATCACGGGCTGCTAGTAGAGACATCCCCACCCCGCCACCAGCCCCACCTTCTGAAGGGGAGCTCCCCAGGACTGTCTGCTCACTCTGGGGTACTTGTACTAACTGGAGTCCCAACAGCTCTAGAGTGGTAAAAGGTGCAATGCTGATTCTCTTTCTGTACCAGATAAATTGGAAAGAGCTCTTAACCTGCTTATGAACAGTTACCCCATTTGTCTCCCTAAGATTATGTTAGAGATGCACTTCTTTAATATACATGTACAAATTTGGAAACACAAAGATCAGCTTTTCTGGAGATCCTATAAGGAGTTCTCTTTGGAAGGAAGAGGAAGTTTATGCGTCACTGGTGATTTTGACTTATACAATTTCACATTGCTTACCTTTTCCAACAGCCAATATAGAGCTACGAATGCATATCATAAGCTAGAACCAAGTAATTGTCCAGGTATTATTCAATTAGCGTATTAATGGAAGTAATTTCCAGTTTCTGAATACTGTGGGGAAAACACCGTTCATTAAGGCTTGGCTGTCGGACGTGCACTGGTGAGGCACAGGGGAAGCACAAAGAACGGTTTCTTTACCTGCAGAGTGTGGAAAGGGGAAAGGGTGTTTCTCTTGAACCCTGCCAGCCCCTGGCTGTGAGTGATTATATAAATAAGCTAGTTCTCGCACACATTCCTCTGTGTATAGCACTGAGCTGGGGAGTTGTGCTCATGGGTAAGGAACTTTGCAGCCTCAGGTTAGGTCTGTAGCTTTTGCCACCTGTGACACCGTGGTCAACAGTAGGAGTCTGTACTGCACTGTTAGCTCCCACCCGGGGGTCCCCCAAGTGTGGAAAATCTGAGTACTGTTCATTTCCAAACAGTGTTTAGCCCAAATGTAGGTGGAGCTGATTTCCAATGAATGAAGGCTATTTAGAAGCAGTTTATTAGATCAGAGGCAGAATTTATACAAAGAGAGGATTGTTATGCTTGTAGTAGCAGGGCAGTAGGACATAAATTAGCCATTTTTCCAATGCAAATGTTTATTTTCTGCCAAGATGTTAAATTTAATTTTAGCTCTGAATGGAAACAGGATGACCTCAGCATAGCATATGCTGCCCTCAGGTTTTTTTGTTGTTTTTGTTTTTTTTGTTTTTTGCTGAACTTTTGCAAATCATTGTGTACTTACTTACCATAAATACCGTTTACTAATGGCGGCTCAGTATTTTGCTGTTAGGCTTAAGAAACCACATTCAGAAACATTCCAAAGACGCATTTTGCTAGTTTCTGGAATGTCCAAGGGTGATATGTGGCCCTTCATGAAATGGGCACAGAGCTTCTGGGCTTAAAAATGTAATTTGTGAGGCTCACTTTGCAATTTCTTCCTTTGCACATAGTTGATCTAGAGGTGAGGAATTTTCAGGATTAATTTCAGGTAGTCATAAGGATCTCTATCTAAACTTAAGTCAAAAAAGTATGCTCCCCATTTTCTAGAATTTCTTCTTCCTGTAGTGAGAAATTAAAGATTCCTTGAAACACATTTAAGATTCAGATCCTGTAACTTGGCAAGGAATGTGACCATAAAATCCACTGGTATTTGAATAATAGTGATTTTTTTTTTAAAGCTGCCACTTTACAGGGACAAAAAAAAATAAGAACAACCTTAACATTTTTCTTTGGGACATTCTAAATTACAAATGTTTAATTGGCTCAAGATCTGAAGCACCTCGTTGTTGGCCCTTGGTGGTGGGGGAGAGGGGCACTGACCAGCTCCCTAGCAAGGGGGCCTTCCTTTCATAAAGAAAAGAAATTGAGAATACAAATGTGAAACCGAATAGCTGTTCCACCAGTAATTGACGTTCTCTGAAACGTCACTAAGAAAATACCCCAGCGCGTGTGTACCCTAAGTCTCATTAGTTCCATATGATAAATGCGCCATGCTTTTGCAAGCTGCTGAAAGATTGTTATATTTAGTTCTGGCATCTCCCTCGCTGCGTCCATCCACCAGATGCCGTGTGCTAATCCCCTGTTTACACATTTAGGCTGACGCTGGGCAAACCCCTGGGGGAAGGTTGCTTTGGGCAAGTGGTCATGGCTGAAGCAGTGGGCATCGACAAAGACAAGCCCAAGGAGGCGGTCACCGTGGCAGTGAAGATGCTGAAAGGTGAGTGGGGAGGCGGCGGGGGCGGGGCGCAGAGGGTCTTATCAAGAATGCCCCTTTTGTGGCATGTGAACTCTGTCATGGCAGGGGTCAGAGGGCACATAGTTGACCTAGAGGTTGAGGAGTTTTCAAGATAAATCAGTGTCTTGGACAGACTATTTATCTTGAGCCATGTGTACTTACCAAGAAAGAAAAGCCCCCTCTGTTCGCAAGTGGTGGCCGTCCAGGTTGAGTTGTCCTGGGGCTTCCTGCAGGTGACTGTGATTCTTCACCCGCTCTGTGTTTCTATGGGCTTAGAAAGTATCCACTCCTAGTCGATGGATTTAGATGGGGGTTGGCCCACTGGCTTCGGGACTCAAACTCGAGCCTTCAAACAGAGAAACTGACATTGTAAGAGGTAACTAGAGGCTCAGTGAGTAGGACACCTTCTTTCTTTGCAAGGAGAGGAGCAGAAATGACTCCCGTCGGGGGAAGTCACTTAGAAGCTACAAAGGATCTAACAGAATCGGGGTTGGTGCAGAGACCCGGGTCGTGGGGACAGCAGCCGGGACATAAGCATCCAGTTGCTGTCACTCGTGGGAACCTGAAGCGTGCACCAACACTCTGACCCGCTCCACGGGAGCTAGAAGAACTTTTAACCATTAACTTATGCTCCTGAGCTGGTCTTTTATGAGAAAGGTTATAGGGAACGGTCACATTATAAATCCTATTGTAGGGATGTCGGAAAGGAGGTCCAAAGCCAGGTGTTTCTGTGGTTTCCAAGCAGAGAAGTCTGTCCTTGGGCTGCAGGATTTGCTGTTCTTGCTGGAGGTTTTTTTAAGATGGGAACTGGAGCCACTTTGAGTAGCCAGTGGGCGCCATGGCCATTGGCCCGCCCAGGATGCTGCACACAGTTTACACACACAGTTGTGGGGAGCCTCCTGAGCCAACTTTGAGTGTTCCAAGGGCCACTGGGGTTGCGTAGGGAGGGAATTCTTGCTCTGGAGAAAATCTGTAGTGATTCTAAGATTCCTTATGTATGATAGAGGAGGGGTTGGCTCACCGTAGAGAGAAACACTCTCATGTCTGTGATGTTTGCTTCAGAAGACTTGGGCTTAGGGTCACATGCCTTGTTTTAATCCTGACTGTTTGCTAGTGACCCCCCGAAGAACCCTGACCGGGCCTTTGTTCCTTTGCTGATAAAATGAGGGAGATGATTGGGGAAGTCTTTCCTGGTTCTGTGATTCAGTTTCAACCAAGAGTTTGGCCACTAGCAGTGACAGCCCTCAAATCAGAGGAAATGTCTGATTGGTGGTCACCTACTATTCATAGATGATGCCACGGAAAAGGACCTTTCTGATCTGGTGTCAGAGATGGAGATGATGAAGATGATTGGAAAACACAAAAATATCATTAACCTTCTTGGAGCTTGCACACAGGACGGTGAGTAGGGGAAATGATTCCAGATGTTCAGCCCACAGTTGAGAGCAGGCTTCTTTCTAGAAGCAGTTGAGCTTCTGAATCCTGCTCCTGGGGTGCCTCATGTGCATGTTTATAGTTTTCCTTAAAATACCCTTTGTAAGATGTTCCCAGGCAGGGACACAAAGGGGCCTCTGTGCCTGGGGATTGGGGACAGGCGGGTGTCAGGTCCTGCTGTCTCTAGGTCATGATCTGGAGGCCATTTTGGAACGGGCGATCTCCTTATGTTTTTGTGAGTGTGAACATGAGACCCTGTGTTTGGTTGAGAAGTTCTTCCCTTGTGGTGGGAGTTGAGGCGCCCCATCCTGCTGTCAGCTACAGACAGTGGGCTCTGAAGGAAAGAGGAGAGCAGTATGAAGGGGTGCCTCTTCCTCCACAGAGGGATTCCCTGGCTGCTGCCGCTGAACATCTGCTGGCGCTTTGGGAACCAATTTGACAATAATCTATAAACTTGAAAATGCACATTTGTCTTGATAATTTTCCTTTAGGTCGACATTGGCAACTTATTTCCATAAGGTCAGTTGGAGATATTTTAGAGTCTTGTGGACCTTGTGGTCTCTGTTGAAACCACATGTCACTGCCATTGTACTAGGGGAGCAGCCTTAGTCCAGAAATGCATGGACCTGGTTGTGTGTCAGTGAAAGTCAGTGACCCAGACAGGCAATGGGCAAGCTTTGGCCTGCAGGCTCTGGTTTGCTGACCTTCCAGTCTGTGCCATGGAGAAGTATGGCAATCTGTAGGCAGAGAGACACAGCCATGTTCCTTGCCCACTCAGTTATGGTGGATACAGCAACCTAAATGCCTACCAGTACAGAGAAGCAGAGGGAGGGTGGTATGGGAGATGGAACAGCATGCTCTCCTGCTGTGGAAAGGAGGGATCAGCTTGGGCGGATGAGAATGACGTATCGGTGACATGTAGCCTCCCCAAGAGAATGTATCAGTGAAAATGTAGCAAAGTTCTCTTTATTGTTCCTTTCTGTGACTAAAAATAATACATACATTTTATCAATACTAGATATACGTAGAGTAGCTAAGATGAATTGGAAGTAAATAGTAGAGGGAACAGATTTATGAGAGCCACTGCCCTCCATGATAGGGAGGGCACCGCCTCTCTGCTTCATTTCTTGAAGGCTTTTGCAGATGTCACCACCCAATGTTGATTCTCATTTGAAGAGATCAGAACACAGGTGTTCTATTTTCATGTGTGCTTTTCTGCATGTAAAAACTTAAAAAACAAACAAACAAAAAATAAAACCACCCATGCTTGATGGTGTGGCTCGGTGGTAGAGTCCTTACCCAGCACCTGGGTCTCCATCCTCAGCGCTGCAGAAGCCACAGACGGCAACATGGCGGTGCCACGTTGGGTGCAGTAACTAGAGGCCCTTTGCTGAGTGGCCCCAGGGCAGATCCTGGCCCGCTGCCTCAGGAAGCGTGTCCTCTCTGTCAACAGGGCCACTCTATGTCATAGTCGAGTACGCTTCGAAAGGCAACCTCCGGGAGTACCTCCGAGCCCGCAGGCCGCCCGGCATGGAGTACTCCTATGACATCAACCGCGTGCCCGAGGAGCAGATGACCTTCAAGGACCTGGTGTCCTGCACCTACCAGCTGGCCAGAGGCATGGAGTACTTGGCTTCCCAAAAAGTGAGTCCTTCTCATTCCTCTCGGCCGGGGGAACGCCAATAAAAAGTGCCTTTGAAGGCGCTGGGCGGTGGGCTGTGCTCATTCTCTAGATCATACCCTCACATGTCTCGTGCAGGCTGGAAAGTCTTTATGGCCTTGTGCATATTCGAGTTTAATGAACTCTAAAGAGCAAAGCAGCCTCATAAACTCGTGGGGACGCTGCAGAGAGGAGCAGGAAAGATGTCTCTTCTCTGAGATGGGGCTGGGTTTGGTGCTCTTGGGAATTCAGTGCCCCCGGTGGAGGGTGACTGGCCCAGGGGTGTTCCCTGTCATCCTGATGTGGGACTTCTTGTTTTATTTTGTTTGGGCTTCATTTGTTTTGTAGTTACTGAGTGTGGGGACATGGACTTTGGGTGATGTGTTTAGGATTTTGAGTTTGATGTGGCCTTAAGTATGCTAAGAAGAGAGATCAAGTGAAAGGGTATTTTAGTAACACAGAATCCTGGACATCTGAGTTCATTTTGGCTTACTTTGGTGAGTGACCCTCTGTGGTCAGAAGTTGGCCAGGTCCCCCGAGGTAAATCGCTGGCATTCCAAGCATGCCACTTTCAAAGGAACTTGAAACATGTGAGTTATTCTGGAAGCAGTTAAGCAGGTACCCAGATGTGCTCGGGGGCATTTCAGGGGACCTAAGACACCCTTCCTCAGCCCACATTCAGGGAGGGGTGCAGAGACCCCCTCCTCAGGCAACATGAGCTCCACTCCTCTCTGCTGGGAAATATGATGTAGCATCAGGAACTTCCCGGGAACCCAGAAAGCTGAGGTCTGGTGGGTGTGGACCTCTGTCACCTGGGGGCCTGGGCTGCTTGGATGGTCACAAACCTGGATCCCCACAGGGGCCTTGTGAGTCTGATGCGTGAAGTGGATGGGAGGGGCAGCCGTGCTGCAGCCCTGGTCTCCGCCCTGGGTCCTGTGGGTTCTGTCTTTGTTTTGTGTTTTATTTTCATTGTTTTGTTTTGATTTTTAAAAAATACTTTAAGTTTTTAAAAAATTTTCCAGAAAATTCAGAGCTCAAAACTTTTCCAGATTTCTCCCTATAAAATCTCTTAGTATATAGGTTTTGGGAAACTAACTGAAACAGTTTTGAGTCCTGTGATTTTGCATGTGCGTGTAAGCAGGGCGGTTTGCCAATCAGAACGTCTTGGGCATTGGGAAACAGGTCCAGGATGCTGGCATTTGACAAGACATGGTTTCAAAGGGTCAATGTCACAAGAGACAAAAAGTGCCAGGGAGATCATTCCAGAGTAAAGGAGGCTAAAGAGATGGCAGCCAGGTGTGAGAGTGGACTTGGGCAGGTTCCTTTGGGGTGGGAGGTGGGGCCAGCTTTTACAAAGGACATTGTGCACAATTAAACTTGAGCTCGGCCTGTGTCTTAGGTAACGTTACTGTGTCAAAGCCGAATTTGGGGCAACAGTGCAACTGTGTTAAGGTGGGAGACATAGGTCAAGTGGCTCGTGTCCAAAATAAGTGTTTGAGACTCTAGAGGAGTAGCCAAGGATGGCTTCTGGTTTCCATGTATGGAATATTTCCATACACCTTTCTTGAAGGAAAGACCCAAATCTAAACATAAAATGCCCACAAGAGCCTGAAGGTATCGTTATACAACATTTTTATTAATTTTGTGCATAAGACCAAGTTTTATAGTGTGGAATTTTTCACCTGTGTCATGTCAGTACTCAAAATGTTTTGGATTTTAGATTTTCGAATTAGGTATGTTCACCCTGTAAATGCTGAAGAATTTAGATGTGAAGTGTTAGTGATACTTACAACTTTTAAAGAGCTGAGCAGTAAAGTAAGAGTGCATATGTGTGTGTGTGTGTGTGCGCGCGCGCGCGCCTGCGTGCACATGCTGAATACAAAGAGAGAAGGTGAGCAGGTAAGAATAATAAGCAAGTTTGGTGACCCTGGTTATCCATTGCACTATTTCACCTTTTCTGAAATATTTGTAGTATTTCAGATAGAACACTGGGGGCACAGTCTAGCTGGAGGCAGCCTGGTCACTTATGGGCCTGGTCTCTCCCAGCTGTCCCTAGGTGGGAGATGGGAGAGGCACAGGGTGCTACTGCTCATACAAAACGGTGGGAGGACTGGCCTCAGCATTTTATTCAGTCCTTCAACTCAACAGGCCTCCCTGGAAGCCTCAAGCCCTAGTCAGAATGGACATAGCCCTTGACCTCTTGCAGCGGGACCCATGAGTGATTTCCAATTAACATGAAAATAAAAATTAGTATGTAAACAACAACAAAAACCCTGAATGGGAACGGTGTGATAAGGCCCCATTCATTCAGGACCTTAAGGCCCCATGCCAGGGGCCAGAAACCATTAAGGGAGAGTAACAGGTCAGGAGTGTGCTTTACAGATGGCTCTTCCTGTTGCCTGCATGGCAGATGGAAAACACCAAGTCCTGTGGAAGGTGCCGGTAGGTGTGGGCCAGGGCTTAGTGGGGCCCAAGACACTGACCGAAGTTGCTAGTGTGATTTCAGACTTATTTTGCTGTGAGGATAGTGACTTGATTAGGTCCGGGGAGAGGAGTGGCCAAGGATGGCTTCTGATTTCCAGCTTGAGAAACTGGACGTGGTCCAGCTTTCCAAGATGAAGAAGACTTGGGAATTGGGAGGCAGGGCAGGGATGGGTTTTGGTGGAAAACCCAGAACTCAGGTATCCCAGAGCCATTCAAAGGGAGGTGTCCAACATGCCGCAGATGCAGACCCATGGACCGGGCAGGCAACTGGAAGACTGCGGAGGAAGGTGGTGTCAAGCTGTGGTAGCAAATCAGTTACCTAGAGGGAAACCTAGAAGAGGAAGATGAGAAGCCTGGAGTGGGACCCCGGGAAAACTCAAATCCCAAGATTGGTGAAAAGCTCAGGAGGCAGTGGAGGCTGAGCAGGCGCTGTCTGAGATTCAAGGGGGAAGCAGAGGCCCCAAAGGAGGGTTTCAGGAAGGGGGAGAGGTGGGCTGTGAACCGTCTTGTCGAGTATGGACACCCCTTACCCCAGGGAGTTAGGACACACGAAGGACCCTCTGGGTCAAACAGAAGACTTGGAATCAGTGCTCAGAAGGAGGAGAGAAGCACTCGTGTTGAGTCTGGCTGCAAAGCCAGTGGCAGCCTCACACCACCGAACCTGTGCACCCCGAGCCCTTCTTGGTTTGGAGTTGCCCTGTGGAGTGAAGAGAACTAGGAGTCAAATGAACTTTGCAAAACGTGCCAACATTTTAAAACACGTGAGAACATTTCAGGACGACAGTGGGAGGGTGGATTCCTCATAGATGGTGTTGGGATGGCCGTAGCCGCTGTTGTGACTCATCAGTGACTACCTTTTGAGAGCCCACCATTGGTCAGGCACGGTGTCAAGCACCTGGCTTACAGGATCCTACATAACTAAGCCTTGGAACAATTTGCAATTGGTGGGACTTTATAAGTAAGAGTGCTGAGGACTGTTGGAAAGTGACAGGAAGGAAAGCTCTGATCCCAAGCATGGCAGAATCACTGTCCTTTCTTAAGGGGTGAGACCTGTAGGCCCCCAGGGTAACATGGCTGTCCTGGAGCTAAGTCCTCTGGTCCTCTACCCAGCCGGGCCCGACTCTCAGGCAGTCTCTACCTCTCCCTGGACTCAAGCAGGACCAAGGAGAGTCCCTGTTCTGGGGCTTTAGTTAGTAACCTGGTGAGCTCACTCCTTGATTTTTCAGAAGAACCCAGAGTCAAAGGGACAGTAATGTTTCCTTGGGGCATTGCATGGGTCCAAAGTCCCTGGCCCAGGGCTGCCTGTAGTTAAAGACATTGGAATAGATGGGAAGGGTGGGAGATGAAGATGTTAAGAATGTTCCCCTTGGGTAGGAAAGATGGTGGAATGAGATGGATGTCATTACCCTAGGTACATGTATGATTGCACAAATGATGCGTCTCTACACTATGTACAACCAGAGAATTGAAATGTTGTGCTCCATTTGTGTACGGTGAATTGAAATGCATTCCGCTGTCGTGTACAACTAAGTAGAACAAATTTTAAAAAATAAATATATTTAAAAAAAAAAGAATGTTCCCCTTAGGAATCGCCTGTTTCCAGACCCAGAAGGTTCATTCCTGACAGTCGAGAAAGAGGAAGTAGGGGAAGGGTCCTATCCTGCCTACCTACCCACAGCCTCCCACTCACAGCCAAGAGATGGCCTTGTTAGAGACCCACTCCCTGGAAGGAGGGGCGGAGGGCAGCTCAGCAGACCATTCCCTGGCCAGGCTCTGTGCTCTGTGCTGGGAATACTGAGGTCACACACAGTGCCTGGCTTCACACAGCTGTCAGTGGTGTGGGGAGTATGCAGGTGTGTTGGCCTTTCCGCACTGTGACAAATGCCTGGGAAAAACAACTTAGAGGAAATAAGGTTTATTGGCTCAAGGTAACTGAGGTTTCAGCTCATGATTGGCGGCTACATTGCTCTGGACCTAAGGTGAGGCTGACCATCATGGTGGTCCCACCAGGAGTCCATTTAGATTCTCTTAATGCATCCAATGGATGTATCCATCGATGAGGTCAGAGCCCTGTGATCCAGTCATTCCCCCAAAGCTCTGGATAGTGCTGCACTGCTTCAGCACCTGATCTTTTGGGGGACTTTGCAGATCCGGGTGGGGGTGCAGAGGGAGTCCGCAAGTAAAGCACCACTAGGGTGCATGTGGTAACAGGGTGCAGTTCGTAAGGGGGTGTTTGGCCTTACACAGTTTATAAACTCCTTGCTATTTTTAGTTCAAAGCACATATTTTCTTTTGTAACCAAATTGCACATCCAATTTAGCTTCCAGAGTATTAAACCCGAGCGGGTTGGATTTTCCTATTAAGCAGGCCCATCGCCCCACCTTGGAGGCGTCCTGGGGGCGTTAGCTTTCCTTCCTGAGCGACCCTTCTCCTGTAGGAGAGGGGAATGCCAAACTGTCTCAGGCCCTAATTATATAAATAGTCAGCTCTTTGGGCTGGAGAACAACTCAGATTTCTGTGAATGATGGGATCTGGCTTGCTTTAAATTATTTTCCCTTTTCTGGCTCTGGTTCCAAGTCTTCTGTTCAGCCTGGCGGGGCCTTTGGTGTGTCCGGGCTCCCCAGGAAGAGGGGTGTCCGAGCTGGACAAGGTGGTGGCAGTAGCCCTAGGCAGCATCTCTTCCCAGTCGAGCCCTGATGTGTGGTCGGGGCCCAGTGCAGGGGAAGCTGGATTCTCCTGACCACACGGCTTGCCAAACTCACAGCACGTGTTGGAGGCAGAGTACCACCGGGAGAGTTTGGCCCGGGGCTTGGAAGTTCAATTTGAAGAGGCCTCCAGACCAGGAAGGCGGCCCCAGCCACGCAGATCTGCAGGCAGCTCTGGGAGTGCTCACGTTCCCTGCTCCTGTCTGGCCGGGGACGCACAGACTTGGTGGCTTTCCTGCTTCCCCGTTTCTGAACTCAGCCATCCCACGGAAGCAAGTAAACACAAGGACTAGCTGGGGGTGTGGACAGAGTAAAATAATTCTTAATTCCTATTTCCAAAATGTTTGGCTCTTTTTTAAGTGCCCGTCTAAGTGTGGCCCCCTGGCAGCCATGTCCAGTGGATTGGTCAGACTCTCGGCGTCATGTGACAGTTACCCTTTATTGGTAACCTGTATAAAGGCATTTGATGGTATTGTTGACTTGCTTCTTTGTGCCTTACCTCTCCCAAAATTACAGGGTGATGATCCGGGACCCTAATTACCATGTACCGTGATGAAATCGTGGTATGTTAGAGTGCAGGTAAAACTCCAGCTAGCAAGGGCATTTCATTTGTAGGAAGGAAACACAGAAGTTAGAATAGCTTGGCCTTTCTGAGACCAGAGGGACTCCCAGGAAGCATCGGCCCTCACCGTCAGTCCCCCTAGCAAGCCCTGTAGCCACAGCCTGCATCCCTGTGCAGGCCAGGTGTTCTGACAGACGGGGCTGAGGGCCTGGATAGATGGGGAATGCTGTGACACACACCTCTCAGGGGCACAACTGTCTGCGTCTAAAACACAGGGAAGGGAGGGAGAGGAGTCGGCTGAGTTTGCAGCATGGAGAACAGGCAGTGTGGCAGTCCACAGGGGGCAGGCAATGACCACAGCCTGCACTGAGGGGTCAGCAGTAAGGTGGCAAACTGGAGAGGCACTTTGGAGTTGGAATCAACAGGACTTGGGTGTAAAGGATGCTAGTGTGTCCCTTTCTGATTGAGAGAGACAAAAGGAATAAGAATCAGGGGAGTAGAAACTTGAACCTTGATGCATCAAGGGGACACCGCTGTGGAAATGTCCCACAGTGAGTTGAAAATGAGAACATGGGTCTCGGGAGAGGTCGGAGTAGAGATGGGAATTTGTGACCATTTTATACGTCATCTAGGATTTGACTCTGTGAGGGTAGATAGAGATGCACAGACGCAATGGGGCACTTTGTCTACTTTTGAGGGACAGAGGAAAAGGTGAGCCAACCACAGAGTCAGAGAGTGTCCAGGAGAGAAAGAGAATGAGCCAAGAGCAAGGGGAGGGAGAGCGGGGCTTAGGGAAGGACAGTTTTCAAAAAATGAGCAAGCAGTCAGCAGTGTCCGAAGCTGTAGAGAGGAAGAACTTGGAGGGGGTTCAAGGGCCACTGGATCTGGCAGTGGAGAGCTGATTCATCCTCTTTAGGAGGAGCAGGGAGCACGTCATCTGTGGAAAGGGAATACCAAAGTTGTAATTGTAGACCTTCTGAGACCAGAGTTGTATCAGGTCAGAGCGTCAGAGAAGGGACCAGGAGGTAAAGATTGATGCTGGGTTGAACCAGCCCTTCTGAAAGTGGGTTTAAGGATCAGGTGTTGGGATGGCAGGTGTGGACCCTCCAGTGCCATTCTGTGTGCTGGAAGGAGGGCCCTGGTGCGTCGGGGCTACCGGTGAAAGAGTGTGGTCTTGAAATGACCAGGGCCTTGGCTTAGTTACTTATTCACAATTAGAAAATAAATACCAGAGTCGTGCTGGGGGTTCTCGGGTGGTCTCAGCTGACCAGTTTGGTCTTCCAGCTCCAGTATGGCCTTTTGACTTGAAATGTATGTTCTGTCTGCATTTTAAGAAATGAGCCTATATTTTCTTTTGCTTCTTTGAAGCATTTTGAAATTCGTTCTTTCTTGATTTCAGTGCATTCATCGGGATTTAGCAGCCAGAAACGTATTGGTAACAGAAAACAATGTGATGAAAATAGCAGACTTTGGACTGGCCAGAGACATCAACAATATAGACTATTACAAGAAGACCACGAATGTGAGTCTCGGTGGTCAGCGGGAGAGGGGGTGGGGGGCACAGAAGGATTCCAGGTTCCTGGCGTTTGGAGCTGGAAGGAGCTTCCGCCCCTCATTCCTGTTTGTTGGCCATACTCTTCACAAACTCTCAATAAGCAAATGCAGGCGATAATTCAGGATGATCTTGGCCAACGCGAAACGTTCTTTTATCCCGAGTAAGCAGGAGCCTCCAGGCGTTTAACGTGACTCTTGTCTGTCAAGAACTTTCATAGCACAGAACAGAGCCTGGACGTTACGGGGTTAATTTTTGTCTAGGACCTGGCCAGGGTGTGTCTGTGCAGGGGATAAATGGTATTGAGAATCCAAGGAGATGGCAGGTCATTACCGCACCCAAAGCTGACATGTTACGTCCGGTCCTAGTTGGAGCTTGTCTCTGTCCTGACGACTGACCCTGACCCAGGGAAACCATGAGGTTCCACCTCCTGGCTACAGTGCAGCTCGTCGAACCTGCTGCCATAGTTTTAATCTGTGGGTTTGTACGTTTTCTCCCACCCTCGCAGGGGCGGCTTCCTGTCAAGTGGATGGCTCCCGAAGCCCTTTTTGACAGAGTGTACACACACCAGAGTGACGTGTAAGTGACCTCCGTTCTCTGGCTCTTTCGTGGGGTCGGTCGCAGGAACAGGGCATGTTCTTCCTCTGTCTTCATCCTCTGGTGGCCACTGCATTGCACACGTTCATGGAAGGCCTCAGAGAGCGCAGACGTTGTAGTAGGCTGGTAACCAGGGCTCTGTTACTAGTCTGCCACCTTTGAAGAGCCCAGGCGGTGGAATCGCCTACCTCCCCTTGCTGGAGCGAGGTGACCCTCCCACGCCCCCAGGGGTGTGTACTGTAGAGCTGCTGTCCAGATGGCAAATCCAGTCCGCAGCTGCCACTCTCTTCAGTCCCTTAAAGTAGTACCTACACCCTCCCTGCTCAGGGGGCTTGTGTGCTCCCCACCCAGGTTGTCCTCGGGGGACACTTGAGTGAGGCAAATTCGGCTCAGATGATCTCCACCATGGCTGCTCACTGGGATGACTCTTAAAAAATCTGGTCTGGTCTTAGTCTCTTTTAGAAATATAGTAGAAATTACATAATGTTTCTGTTATGCACTTAAAAATGCAGTTAGGATCAGGCTCCAACTGATTTTTTAGATTCTGGAAATTCAGTTGAAAGATCTTGCTACCTTTGGGAGAAGATGGGTGAAAGGGACTGTTTTTGCAAGTTTCTGGGAGTCTATAATTATTCCAAGGGAAAAAGTTGTATTTTTATTTTATTTATTTATTTATTTATTTATTTATTTATTTATTTTGGCACTGAGGATTGAACTCGGGGGCACTCGGCCACCAAGCCACATCCCCAGCCCTATTTTGTATTTCATTTAGAGACAGGGTCTCACTGAGTTGCTTAGCACCTCGCTTTTGCTGAGGCTGGCTTTGAACTCTCAATCCTCCTGCCTCAGCCTCCTGAGCCTCTGGGATTTCAGGCATGTGCCACCACGCCTGGCCTGGTTTTTGTTGTTGTTGTTGTTGTTTGTTTGCTTTAAAGTCATTCGGTCTGTTTTTCCCGTGTGAGCAGGATTCCTGGGGTAGGCCTGGACTCTTCCAGCAGGGTTGGCCCTCTCGGCAACTCGGGCAGGAAGGGTCCTGATTCCCATTTGTGCCATGAGCAAACTGAAGCCCAGTGGCTCCTTCTGCCTACGTCATGCTTCTGCTTCTGCTCCATAGAAAGCCAGGAACAGTTTCATTCCCAAACCTGACCAGCAGAGAGTCAGTAAGGACAGTTTCCAGAGCTTCGATGACACAGGTTAAACCTGTGGTTCTCTGCTTGATCGCCCCAGGGATTGAGTCCCCTGAACTAGGCTCAGAAAAAAAAAAAAAAAATGCAGGTCTCTAAGAAGCCTGTGTGAATGTACCCTGTGGGGTGTCCTGGTGAAATTCAGGTGGGCACAGCATTCTCCCATCCTGACCCTGGCCCTGGCCCTGGCCCTGCACCGACTCCTGGGCCATCTTAGTAAGTCACAGAGCATCTGCTGCGGGCACTCTACCAGCCATTCTGAGAATGGCTGGTCTTACTGTGTCAGCTGCTGGTACTGCTGAATCACAGTCCTTGTGTCAGGCACACCGGGAAGAGTGAGAGGAGCAGAAGCCTTTGGAGTGTAGGAATGGAGATCCTGTGTCTCTAGTGCCATCTTTGAGACCAAGAACTTTTAAGAGCAATGGAAAATTCCATCAAGAGTACCCCAGCCCTCCCTGTTCAAAGAGCCTCCTTGGAGCAGGAAGGGTGACGTGGGATGAATCACAGGAGGGCTCGTTTATCTGTGAATGCAAGAAGTGGGCAGGTGTTTTATTTTTTTCCTGCCGTTTGGATGGGTCAGTCATGCTGTGTTTTCTCTTTTCTTTGCAGCTGGTCCTTCGGGGTGTTAATGTGGGAGATCTTCACCTTAGGGGGCTCGCCCTACCCAGGGATTCCCGTGGAGGAACTTTTTAAGCTGCTGAAGGAAGGACACAGGATGGATAAGCCAGCCAACTGCACCAATGAGCTGTAAGGCCATTTCTCCCCGCCCGGCCTGCTGCCACATCAACCACCCTTCTGAGTCACCTCTGTATCCTAAAGCCCCGATTCTCTAAAGATGCTCTGAAAAGAGTTGCTGAAGGTGTCCATGCTCAGTCCCAGAGCTGAGATAGCTACTCCGGCCACCGCACCTTGTCCAAAAAAAAGAGTAGCCTGCTGCGGTGCACAGAGGGCAGGCGGCTGCCTGGGCGAGCGCAGAGCCAGCTGGAGTGATCTTCCTGGGGTGTCTCCTGTGCCTCAAGGGTCAGGAAGGTGCCCGGGTCAGGTAGCAAGCTAGGAAGCCGTGGGGCCACCCTCACAAAGCCGAGGTGCTTTTGCCAGCCCCAGCGTGGCAAGTGGACAGAGTGGGCGTTTCTGAAGCACCTTTGACCCCTGACGGCCGCCACTGCAGATTGACATCAACCACACTTGCTCAGAGCCGATAGCTAGTGTCTGCAAACCCATGTTTCACTCATATCTTAGTGCAGAGAACTAAAAATCCTCAGGGTACTGCATCTGACCATAAAACCAGTAGCTGATTTCTAGAAAAATCCACCTCGCACTGTAAGTGGAGTTACATTGTGTCAGTGACGTGTGCCTTGTGCAATAGAAGTGGCACTGGGAAAAGGAGGCTGTCCCCCCTCTAGCCCTGGGGTGAACTAAGAGCAGCGATTGTCCCAGAGACTGCGCTCCATTGTGCGTCTTTTCACAGGGATTTAATGTCAGTAATCCCATGAGTGCTTTTAGGTGTACAGTGGGCATTGATGAATGACCACATTTTATAGCGTATTATATAAAGGCATTTATTGTGCTCCTTGTTGTTCCTCTTGCTTTTCCTAATGCAGAGGGTCTGTTGAAACTCCCCATCAAGATAAGCCCAGGAACGTTGGTCTCTGCGAGAGTTAATCAGGAAGTCAGCATGCAGCCCATCGGGGCAGATCGGCCCCTGAAACCCTTGGCTTAAAGTTGTGGTTTTCACACTTTATTTTGTTTTAAACTGAGGAACCTTTGTCAATTGGAATCTTTAAAACAAAACCCAAAGTGTATTCAGCAGCGTGTTCAGGGCGGAAGGCTAGAGACCTAGCAGCACCCGTCTCCTCCCTTGACCTCCAGAAGGGCCTTGAAATCGAGAGGCCGTGGCGACGTCACAGGGGTGCCTAGCTAGATGTCTTCCTAGGACGTATTGGGTGAAGCCATATTTTTGTAAGTCCAAGTGCCTTTCGGAGGAAGCAAGCACTGGGTCCTTGAATAGTGACCGACTCCCTCCTCACTGAGTGGCTTGGAAGGTTCTGGTACCTTTTCATTACTCAGGGCGCCTCTGCATGTTCCTGTTAAAGCTGGCATAGCCTAGTGCTTAAATCAGCTCACCAGGGGCTCGTCTCTTGCCAGGTACATGATGATGAGGGACTGCTGGCACGCTGTGCCCTCACAGAGACCGACGTTCAAGCAGTTGGTGGAGGACCTGGATCGAATCCTCACTCTCACAACCAATGAGGTAAGAACCTCCTTCCAGAAGCTCCGGGGGCCTTGCCCAGCTCAGGAGAGAAGCTCAGCTTCATACACGCGATTCCCCTGTTGGAGTCGTGGTATAGTCTGCCATGGTACCAGAAGGGCCAGACAGTGAACTGTGTGTGTGTTCCTCTCAAAGCACAAGCTTTCTCAGAAGTGCACTTGGTAAATTCTGATTAATGAAACCAAAGATGGAGGCCATGCCGAGGCTGCCCAGCGGTGGCTGCTGGTGGCGTGTGGCTGGGATGGAGGGAGAAGAAGTGTCCAGCTGCTGCATTTTGGTGTGGAGGGAGGGAGCTCAGGCTTTGTGCTCACCAAGTCTGTGCCTGGTCATGAGTGTGAGAGCAGCTGATGCCCTGTCGCTGACCCTGGATGGCACCTAGTGAGTCCTTCTGTGTGACCGATGCTGCCGTGGGTGATCTCAGCTGGCAGGGGCTGTGGCTCTCACCTCCTTTTTGTGCATGTAAACACACACAGCCTCCTGTGGGGAGTGACCATTAGGATTTTTGGTGAAAACTGATACCTGTTGGTTAAAGTGGTTATTTTCTCCAAAATATTTGTAATCTATGTCCACCAAAGAAATACTTTGTGTCACTCGATACCCAATCCAGAGAGTGAGTGGTCTTTAGGGCTATGGCAAGAAAGTGTGGTTATGCTCTGAGCAGGAAAGATGATAAAACTCTGGAGTCCAGGAAAAGCCCACGGGGGAGAAATTAGTAATGAATGAAATTTGAGATATTTAATGAGGATGTAGGAACAGTATTCCCTCACATGGGGAAAAAACCAAAACAACCCCAGAGTACACAGTTGTCTTTGGAGCCACAAAATGTTAACATCTCCCAAATATGTTAGACCAATTATACACTGAATTTTTAATGAACAGTTTTACAGGGTTTTTTTTTTTTTTAAATAAAAATACAGTCGAATGGACTGATATGAAGCTCAACTCAGCAACTTTTATCTTGTGTGTCTGACTATGGCTTGTGCCGAATAAAGGGAGAGATTGCATTTAAATGAATGCAGCTGACCTTCAGAAGTTGAAAGAACGGAACAGTTCAAGGGCGGGGGGTAGGAGGGGGGACACCAACTTTCTTCTCCTGCCAAAATTGTTGTTTCTAGCATAAGTTCCTTTAACCCTCGACTTGGAATCCACTGATATTCCTATTTTTTTTCCTATCAGATCTGAAAGTTTATGGCTTCATTTAGAAACTGGAGAAAGCACTAAAGTTCTCTTTTAATGATCCCATGTCCCTGCTCCACGTTACACATTTATATATTCACATTTAAAGAGGGGTCCGTTCATACTGAAATTTATATGTAGTATCCTAAAATAAAAAAAGCAGAATGCCATATTGCCTAACGGATATAAAAATCGAAGTCTCTTTCCTTCTGAAAATCATTACCATATGCTCAAGAAAAATGGTTCCATTTAGGACAAAATTTCATTTTTATCATTGTAAGCAAAAAGTCCTCTTTTGATGTGGTGGGCGTGTTTGTTTCTAGTGGTGCGGTTCATACTGTGGTGTTGTTGGAAACGACACATCCCCTTTCTTGGATGGGGACTCTTTCTTTTGCCAGCCCTGGTGATGAATTATAGTGGGGTTTTTTTTTTCCCCTCTGTCTTTTAAAACATATAGTCGCCAACATTCCGTGGGCTCTTTTCTGATAACGCTGAGGCTGTTTCTGCTGTGGTCTGCACTTTTTAGGCCCCTCTGGGTGAAACCACATGTCACAGAAATGGAGTTGGCTTCTGGGCGTATGAGCAGAACCACCAGCATGCCAGCTCGGTTGAGGCAGCGAGACTGAGAAAGTCCCCATTTAGAAATCTTCCCCTGGCTTCAGAGCGGGGTCAGCACACGCTTTCTGTAAAGGTCCAGAGAGTAAATATTTTCAGCTTTAAGGGCCATATGGTCTCTGTCGAAACTCTGCCATCATAGCCTGAAAGCAGCTACAGACTGTATGTAAATAAATGGGTGTCTGTGTTCTACTAAAACTTTATGGGCCCTGAAATTGGAATTGTTATGAATTGTATATCATTTTATGTCATTTGAGTGCCATAAGATATTACTCTTCTTTTGAGGTTTTCCATCCATGTGCAAATGTTAGCAACTGTCCTTAGCTCACGGGCTGCGTGAGAGCAGGCCACCAGCTCTTGCCCAGGCCTGGGTGGAGGAGGGCCTGTTCTTCTGGGTGCAGGGGTACCTCAGCAGCCACACCAAGGTGGTGCTTTGGGGAATCTCAGACCTCCATTTCCCTAAGCTTCCCTTTAGTGGCCCACTGTGGATTTAACGTGCATGAGTGGATCCAAGCCTTTTTTGAACCTGTTTACATTTTCAACCGAGCGAGCTTCTGAGAGTAATGAATTACATGTGTTAAATTACGTGCTGAATGAAGAAGTGTTCCCCTTAAATTGTCCTAGAAACTATAATAGTAAGATGTAATTCAGGAAATAAATATTCATGATCTCATTAGGCAAAGCGGTCCCGGGGACCGTGTCCTATTAGGTGTTTCTACTCTGCTGGGCCTTGAACTTGAACCACACGGTCTAGCAAGGGGGTGACTGGCCCCAGAGTTGGCGTAGGTCTCTGCGGGCTAAGGAGACCCCAGCACCAGCAGTGGGGGGTAGATGAAGCTGGGCTTGGGGGAGGTGTCCCTGGCTGTTGGGGGGACGGGCTCTGTAGGCCTTCCAGGGGATCCCTGTCCCTTCCCAGCTTACGCCCACTTCTCGGGAACCTGCATTTCAAACAAGACTCTTCTCTCCCTTCTTTCAGGACTACCTGGACCTCAGTCAGCCTCTCGAGCCGTATTCACCTTGTTATCCTGACCCGAGATGAAATAAAACATCTCTCTCCCTTCTTTCAGGACTACTTGGACCTCAGTCAGCCTCTCGAGCAGTATTCTCCTAGTTACCCCGACACAAGGAGCTCTTGTTCTTCAGGGGATGACTCTGTGTTTTCTCCGGACCCCATGCCTTACGAACCTTGCCTGCCTCAGTTTCCACACATAAACGGCAGCATTAAAACATGAACGAGTGTGTCTTCCTGTCCCTGGACAGGGCAGCGCCAGGAACCTACCTACACTGAGCAGGCAGGCCTTGCCTCCCAGGGCCTGTTGTCTCTGCTTGTATATATGGATCAGAGGAGTAAATAATTGGAAAAGGAATCGGCACACGTGTAAAGGTTTATACATCTGAAAACTTACCACCTTCGCCAGGAGGAGGATGTTTCTGGAGCAGTGGACAGCCACGAGCCACTGCCCCCTCACCCCGACCCACTGTGGGTACTGCTGTGCCCCATCGGACTCAAGGCAGACACACGTTCTGCCTTCCTTGTTAATTTTGTAATAATTGGAGAAAATATATGTCAGCACACACTTACAGAGCACAAATGCAGTATATAGGTGCTGGATGTATGTAAATATATTCAAATTATGTATAAATATATATTATATATTTACAAGGAATTATTTTTTGTATTGATTTTAAATGGATGTCCCAATACACCTAGAAAATTGGTCTCTCCTTTTTTTTTTTTTTTAAATAGTTATTTGCTAAATGCTGTTCTTATACAGAATTTCTTAATTTTCACCAAGCAGAGGTGGGAAAAATACTTTTGCTTTCAGGGAAAATGGTATAACATTAATTTATTAATGGATTGGTAATATACAAAAGCAATTAATCATTTATAGTTTTTTTTTTTTTTGTAATTTAAGTGGCATTTCTATGTGGGCAGCACAGCGGACTAGTTAATCTATTGCTTGGACTTAACTAGTTATCAGATCCTATGAGAACAGAAATATTTACAATATATGACTAACTTGGGGGAAATGGAAGTTTTTGATTTATTTGTGTTTAAACTCTGCTGTCAGATAATTTTATGCTTAAACCACCTGAATGCCCATATTACAGGAACCTGTTCATAGGAAGGTGTTTGGTGTTGGTGTGCAGCTCTGTCTTTGGCCGGCGCTGCATTTAGCTGGATTTCCCTAGACAAATGGTACCAGCGCCCTTGCTCAAAGGTGCCTTAATCCATTCCTCGAGGACAGACTTCAGCTGGAGCCCCAGGAGGACGGGTTCTCTGCGGCAGCTGGCCTTCTGCCCTTGAGTTGTGCATCTGTCAGATGAGTCTGCATCCTCCTCAGTGAGTTTTGATAATGGCTTCCAGGTTCTTTGGCATCAGAGAAGCCTTTTAGGATCTTCAAAGAACTATCATAGAAAATGGAAACACAGGAATGCTCTGCTGAGAGTCGGGGGCTGCTTCCATCTTAAGGGTTTGCTTCCGTCTGCTGCTGACAAGACCTCACCTCAAGATCCGGCCCATCAGACAGAAGAGCTCCGTCTTGTTCATTCTGTGTTAAAGTATTGTGTTTTGCTTTCAGATCACCCACTCACTTTGCTATAGCCATGCAACATGAATGCAGAAGACACTGATTTTATGTGTTACGAAATTGGAGAAAGTATTTAATAAAACCTGTTAATTTTTATACTGACAATAAAAATGTTTCTACAGATATTAATGTTAACAAGACAAAATAAATGTCACGCAGCTTATTTTTTTAATACTCGTGTCTTACCAAATGGTTTCCTGTGCTCGGAGGTGTTGACAGAGTGCTGTGCGGTGCAAATGCACAGAAGGCAGAACTGCAAGGCCCTTTGTTTGCCACAAGCAGCAGTGATATGCCGCTGGGATTGGACAGGACCAGCCGTACGTGGGGCACATGGATCCAATGACATTGGAAGTTGGTTGAAGCCCTGTCTGGGTTGCTCACTGGCACCTCAGGGTAGAGAGTCCTCGTTCCTTCCTGGGTCCCCAAGGAGCAGCAGGGGAGAGAGCGTCACAAACCGGGAGGTGTTGCAGGATGGGGAGGTATTGGCGAGGGGAGGTGCTCAGGACACCTGATCCCAGGGACCTTGAACCCTTCCAGGCTGGTTTCCTTGTGATGCATAGAGTTAAATGCATCTCAAAATTTCTAAGAAGCATGAAAACATGGACGAATTTGGTTTCATACCACCAAGAATCTGAAGATAGCAATGGAATTTTGCCTGTTAGTTAACACGAGGGTCTGGGACACAGTGAGTTCCCGTTACATCTGCTTGCCAGCCTCATTGGCACCAGGAAAAGGAGGTAACAGGACACTTCTCTTGAGCCACAGCCATGCTCTTAGACCCTGGCGGGGCTGTTGTACACAGGGCTGGCCTGTGGGTCTCTGTTGGCTTTGAGGCCATCAGTGGTGGAGCAAGGGTCTCACCCGGCATCAGATCCTGGGTCCTGGTTCTGCATTTGCAACCTCCTCTTCAGGGTTGTGCTCTATTAGTAGAGCAGGGTTATGACCCCACCTGAAGAATGTGATCCAAAAAATGAGAAAGCAGCCTAAGAGAAGTGCCACCTGATTAGCACATGTGTGTACAGGGCAACTATGCTGCAGCCCTCTGGCGTTTCCTTGGCCAGGTGGAGGATGGGCCTGTGGTACTGCAGGTATTCAGAGCAAGCGAAGGATCCACAGTGGTTCTTCTCTGCAGCTCAGTGGTGCATCTTCCATACTCTAGGGACTGAAAGGACCATTTGTGGCTTTGACCATGTAGGTTCCATGAATCTTCAGAATTGCTGTACTTGCCCTTTTCAGGGAGATGGGTGGGCCAGAGTTCTAAGCCAGCTGTTGGCCATTTTAGTTTTTAGAATTATTTTGAAAGGGGCATTTGTCATGAGGAGACAAGGGGCAGGATGGTCCATTTATAGATTGCAAATTCTTCCCTTTTTTTTAGACCTACCTCAAAAAGTCTGAACTTGATAAGAATCCCGCGGCTGATAGCCTTTTCCCCAGATCTACAAAATCCGACAGGCAGCTGGCTTAGATGGTGGAGCCTGGGCCCTTCTGTTCCCAGCTAGGAAGGGAGATTTCAGGAGGCTGCTGGAGGTCCTGCTGGTGATGTGAGGGTGGAGAGGTGACCCCTCGCCCACTGCTCAGCTCGTCCCTCCCTCCTTACCTCAGGGAGCTACTCGCCTGATTTGCAGGAAGTTCCTTAGCCCACATTTGGGAAATTAGCACCTACACAAGACCTGTGACCTGAGCAGCTATGGACTGAGGAGTCCCCCACCATTCAGAAAACTAGTGATCGGTCCGCCAGCTTGTCCTGTCTCAGGCTCCACCAGGGCCAGGTCCAGAGAGCTGCGCTATTGCAGAACAGGTACTTGAGACTCAGCCTAAGGGTTTGAGGGTCACCGGGCTGGGAAAGAGTCCATGAAAACAAGGCTGAAGTCTGTGTGGTGGGAACCAAGACGAGGGGTGGCGGGCTTCACGCTAATGGAGAGGTGTAGCAGGGTGATGCTGGGCAAGTCACAGATTGTGCCTGAACTTTCCTTGCCTCCTCTGTGAAACCTGCTGTCACCAGCCTCGTGGGCCTCCCATAGGATGACCTGTAGGAGCTTGGCTTCAGCAGAAGATGCCCCCCAAAAGTTTTCCAATTTTCACAATGTGGTACGATCATCACTACTATCTAATTCCAAATATTCCCATCACTCCATATGAAACCATTCACAGTCTTTCCCCACCTCCAGCCCTTGCTGCCTCCAGCTGCTGATTGTGGATCTACCTCTTCTAGACATTTCACCTAAATGGAGCCCTACAGTACGTGGCCTTCTTGTCTGGGTTCCTTCCCGTAACCTATTTCCAGGTCCATCCACAATGCAGCATGTATCTGTACCTCATTCCCTTTATTCCCAATGACATGCCGCTGTGTGGACATGCCACAGTCTGTCTATCCATCGTCCACTGATGGGCACGTGGGTGGTTTTCACTTCCTGGCTATTAAGAGCAGCGCTGCTGCTAACGTTCATGTGTGTCTTTATTTCAGTTAGTGCACACCCAGGAGGGGCGCTGCGGGGACCTGTGGTCACTGTGTCTAGCCACTCTGAGGTCCAGGGTCACTGCACTCTTACATCTCCCCTAGCAACGTACGAGGGCTCCACTCCGTCCCTAACATTACTGTTGTCCCCGTTTTTTATTATAGCACCCTAGTGGGCATGAAGTATCCCCCTAAAGATTTAATAGCTGAAGAGATACCATTCAGATCATGGGCCAAAGATGCATGCATGGACCTTACTGGGCTTTTCAGAAAAGGGTATTCAGTAAGTTGGCCTGGCTTCCACACCCAGGGAGAGGCTGAGGGTCTGGTCAGTTGCTCTCTTCCCTCTGCTGGGAGAGGAAGGGAGCGCTGGTGTGATGCAGGGCAGAGACTCTCTGGCTGGCATCCTGGAGCGCGGCTCTACCTCCCATCCCCACCTCTATTCCAGCTGTGGCCTGCGAGCTTGAGCAACCCCTGGGGATGGTGAGTGGGCTGTTTCTTGTCCAGCTTGCGTTTTGATGTTGTTTATTTTCTGATGTTTAAAAGATGAAAGCAAAGTTTATCTTCTCTCACATTTCATCCTCAGGAAAACTTGAAGTGGTTCGGTTGTCCACCCCGGGCAGGGATGGCAGAAGCCTTTCACATTTCAAGTGACATTCTGGAACGGGGCCCTTCTTACACCCTTTCCCCCCGGGGTTTCTGGAGTTTTGAAGGGACTCCTCAAAACTGCCTTGTGGTCCTGTCTCAGAGGGTCACATGAGGGACTGTGAAGAACAGTGGACAGCTGGATGGTCAATGTCCAGTGTCCCATCCTCTTGGGAACTTTAAAAGGTGGTGGATTCCTGCCTTTCCACCAAGTGGAACCCCAGGGCCTCAAGCAGTTCAGCCGAGAATTTAGCTTAAAATACAAATGCAGACAAGTGACTTCTGTGGCTCAGGACATGGCCTTGGGCTGGGTCTTCTTAGCTCCAGCTTCTTCTAATTCTTTCTTTGAGGACACTTGAATGAATCTTGCCTGTAGCCCTTACAAGTCAAAATCCACAGTACAAAGTACTGGGAAAGGGACGGGGTGCTTACAGATTGGTAAATGAAGATTAATGGTCTGTGAATGTGACAGATGATCACTGTGTCAAATAAACGTTGAGTTGAATGAGGTTTGACCTGAGCAGTGCTCCTATGTACACTCAAATATTAGCTTTTCTCTCTGGATATAGACATAAAAGTAGGTCTTGAGACAAATATAAAAATATGTTATTATATACATAAATACAGTTGTCATTATTATTGCTAGTCGGTCATGAATGTGACCAGGGCCATGTTTCCCGTCCACCGCCACCACTCTTTTTTTTTTGGTGGTGCTGGGGATTGAACCCAGCATGCAAGGCAAGCACTCTACCCACGGAGCTATATCCCCAGCCCTCACTACTCTTTCTTAAAAAACATTTAATATGTGTTAAAACATTGAAAGTGATGACCCAAACTTTTAAAAGTCATGAAGTTATGTTGTATGTTTCCCTCTTTGAACGGCATTTACTCTCCAAACACCGCCAGGCAACCAAAGCCCTGCTGATCTTGAAAGGGCATTTTGAGAACGGCATAGACCAAGCTATCGAATGATTTCAGTACTGAAATCATATTGAGACCAGAGCAGGAACAAAGGCTCCAGAGGGCTTTGCCATGGAAACTCTCAGGCCCCAGGGGTGCTGTTGGGTCAAGCGAATCAGGATGGGCACCGATGCAGAGTTCTACCACCCAGGGCCAGGAGCCTGGTGCAGTGTTCTAGTGGCAGGCTGTGCACCGTTCAGGGCACCGCCAATTCTTGGAGGACTGGGAAACGTGCAGGACTCGGGAGGCTGAAACCACCCTGTCCTCTGTGGGGAAATCGTAAAGGGGCCTGGTTGACTTCAGGGGTGTCTCATGCCTGCAGGAATGTGAAACGGGATGTTCACGCACACTCAGGACTGCCGTTTCACCTTGTTTGGTGACCTGACTTGCTGCCTCTTCTGGAACAAGGCTCTGTGTGTCTTTGCATACATGTCACAGCAAGGGAGGAAATCTGAAACTGGCCTCCTTCCTGACCTGCCTTTGCTCCCAGGGAGACTAGTTCTTTGGTTGCCTCTTGCTGGATTTAGGTTTAGCCAAAGCGCAGAAGTTTCTCATTCATTGCTGGCCATCTCCCAGGAGTTCCAGAGCTGTGAACAAAAAAGGCAAAGTCAAAACACTAAACCACAAAGCCAGTAGTGACTCGCTGGGCTGGGGGTGCGGGTGGGGTTGGGGGAGAGCTTGCTCTATCTCAGACCAGGGTCGACAAATCCGGCCACTGCTTGTCTTTGTACTGCCTGTGAGCTAAGAAATGTTTTTAGATGGTTGGAAAAGATTTTAGAAAGATATATTTTGTGACACATACAAATTATACAGGACTCCAATTTCAGAGTCCATAAGTAAAGTTTTATTGGGATATAGCCAAACCTTTTCATTTACATAATGTCTACAAGAGGCTTCCCTGCTGTGAGGGCAGAGTGGGAGCATTGCAGCAGAGATGTTCTGCAACACAGAAAATACCATCTAGTCCTCTCTGCAAAGTAATGTTTGTGACTCCTGGCTTAGGTGACGCTGTATCCGTTGGATACCAGGCCCCTGCATGTGGCTTATGGGCAAAGACAGTAGCAGATGGCAAGGTCCTGAATCCCGGTGATGGATGCCTTCAAGAATGGGGT